GATGGTGTTTACCTGATACGCATTACCGACAAGCAAGGCCAGTTCATTAAAAACGAACGTCTTGTAAAGGCTGAAAAATAATTTTCAGAACGATTGAATATTAATAAAAGGGGTGTCCGGATAACCGGGCGCCCCTTTTATTGTTTCCGCTATTGGCAACGTTGACGGATTTTTTGCAAATTGAATGGCTATTTTTTGAGTTGTTTTTTTATTTTTACAATCGATTTTTTTTACTACTAAACCCGATCTAATGTATAAGTGCAAACTGCTCTTTGTTTTTCTCGTTTTTATTTTTACAACTCATCAATCGGTAGCCCAATACAGGTATGGGCATGATGCCGCTGCACGCGCGGCTTATCTCGACTGGCTCAGGTATCAGAAAGCCAAGGAGGAAGGATCTAACCTTAAGAAATGGTGGAAGGGAGAAAGCACGCTTGGACTGGCATTTACCGGTCCGCTTCAGTATAGTCATCGAAGCAAATATGATTCAGTGGAGCATGTTAGCCAGCGATCTTATGATTCTGTTATAAAAGGTATCGCAAAACCGGAGTTTAGTTTTCATATGAATGGTAATACAAATCATATGCTGGCAAGAATATCGGACAATAGTATTTTGTCTTTTTCTGCGGGAGCCGAGGTCAATATATTACGCTGGAAGTTGGAGACTTACAATGGCAATACGTTGCAACGAAAAACGGGTTCGTTACTACATGCCCAGTTTGGTGCACCGCTGACCCTGGATTATAAATGGGGCTGTGATGTGGATTTTGACCGCGAACTAAAAACATGTTTTGCCGTTGGTGGTGGTGTAATGCCGCTTGTTGGCATCAACCTGATGAGTACGGAATCGATGAGCCTGAGTGCCAAGGTGGCTCCTTACCTCTATGCCTCTTTTGGATTTTATGCCTGGGGCTGCTGGAAGATAAGAGCGTCTTATATGCCCGGTAACTATACGGTAGTGAAGGATGCAACGGCAAATTATGGCGGGACTACGAATACGCTGAATATGCAGGGGGGGAATAATTTCATGATCGGCATTAGTCATATGTCGCGCTCCATTGATTGGGGCAGGGGCAGTGGATGGCGCAATGGTGTAAAGTTTGGCGGCGGTGGCGGCAGAAGACGCCATGTTTATGAAAACTCGCGGATGTTTTAACCCTGGGGGCTTCGCCCGGCGGAAAGTCCACCTCTTATCACTACGAAAAATTTTTTCATTTCAGAATATTTTTCCTACTTTTGCGCTCCAATTCTCATATTGCTCTTTAATAAGATTGCATTGGGAGAGTAAGGGG